AGGAGGAGGAAGAGGAGGAGGAGGAGGTGGTGGTGGTGGTGGAGCACCACCACCGGCAAGAGGAGGAGGAAGTGGTGGTGGTGGTGGAGCACCACAACCGGCAGGAGGAGGAGGAGGAGGAGGAGGAGGAGGTGGTGGTGGTGGATGGGAAACTGAAGGTGTTATCTGTGGTGGGTTAAGTTCCGGGGTTTTAGTTAAGGTTGAAGAAGAAGAAGAAGAAGAAGAAGAAGAAGAAGAAGAAGAAGCATCTTTCGCTGGTTTCGAATCTATTGGTGGATAAGAAGCGTACTTTGAACGGCTTGGCGTAGAAGATTTTACAGCAGTTGCTGCTGTTTTTTCTTTTTCTGAAGATGGAGTAAGAAATTGAGCCTTAGATTTTCCCCCGGTTGAAGCATTCTTGCCCGTAGCTGCTGCTGGTGGTGCGCTGTTATGTCTTGCTGATGGAGGATAATAAACATGCATTGAGTTAGTGTAAGAGCCTTTATTAGAAGGTATCCACCTAGACACAGCATCTGGCTTAGCTTTTCTTAAGGTATGGCCCTGAGAGTCTTGCTGCTTAGATTTCTTGTTGGTGCCAATTGAATCTGAAGCAGGCTTGGAACTACTGGACACCTTCTTAACATTATTATCAGCAGTTAACTTATCTTTCGCTACAGAAGGAGCATCTTCTTCATTCTGCTTGTTATCTCTCTCTCCTTCCAACTTACCATGTGTGCCATAATAAACAGATTTGGTTTTACCATTATTACTGTCCAACTGACCATCCCCATTGGGCAAAACACGCTCGTGTGCCTGAATACCATCATCTGATGCACATTCTTCATAAGCATGATAATTGTAACCATCCATCAAAGATACTTCATGATGATTTCCATTGTCCGGGGAAGTTGGTTTAACTGTGTGATTATCAGGTTCCACCTTACCGTCCTGCACATCAACACTGCTGAAAATCTCTTCTGCCTCGAAAAACTCTTCTGGTGAGTTGATTTCTGCTTCATTTCCATCTTCACACGCAGCTTCTTTTGTAGTGATAACGGGTGCAACAGAATCTGTACTTGAGAAGAGCACCTGATACAGCAAAATGTAATGTTAGCTCTTAAAGCTTCAAATAAACAGAGCAAAACAATTATCATGCTTGGATACAAATTTTACCAAAAAAAATCCAATCATTTTTAACCAATCACTTATTCTAACTTAAATCTAACTCAACTTTAACTCAACCCCACTATCCTCAATATTATCAATATAATTAAATAATATCACTCAATCATTCTTACACATTACATCAACTTTAATTCACTATTCACTCACTCACATAATTTTAACTAACCATCACTTCACATCATCTCTCTCCTACTTTTACGTCAAATCAACTTTAATTATTTTATTTAAATATTATTTTACTATAGACTCAAAATCCCACTAACAACTAACAATACAACTTTTTTGAAAATTAACCATACCAAACCAAAAATCCAAACAAAATCAAAATATTTTATATCCAAGCATTTTACCTCTGCTCTGAAATCCCTTGGAAATTGGTCCTTGGCATCCCAGAGAACATCAACATCGTCACGGGTCAGCAACATAACATTCGATCTGACGAATGCTGTATGAAACATAATTCTGAAAATCGTCTCGTCCCTCATTGTGTCGTCCTCCAAATGAATGCACTCAAGAACAATATCCCCCTGAACACGGTAATGGATATCAATTTTCACTAAGTCACACTCTTCCTGCAGCCACAGAGTACAAGAAAACATATTCAGTACTTACTATAATTCCTTCTTTACATCCTATGTCATGCGAATTAAAAAAATATATAAAAAATAAAAAATAAACAAATCCTGGAATTACCTTCCGATAAAAACGAATATTTTTTTTCCCTTTAGAACTCGAAAATAAAAGCTTGGAACTTCGACTTGATGATTTTACCGAAGGATCTTGACCATATACACAAACTACGGGTCTGCACCCTTTTCCACTACCAAACGGAGGAAGAACTCTAAGTATAATACAATCCAAAGCCAATGACTTATCTGACGGTGGCCAATCTGACCCAAAGATTCCTCTAGAGATGTATTGAAGGTATCTGACCTGAGATGGCTGTGGATTTAAAGGAGACAAAAGATGAAGCAGCTCTCTAGGTGCTTGTTTGTATACCATCTCAAGAGTTTTCTGTTCTCCAGTGTACTGTTTTCTATATAAAAGAAGGCCAGCAAGCATGAAAGCCAAAATGGGCCATCCTCCTCTTTCGCAATGCATTAAAAGAACATTATGTTGGCCCTCGAGCGATAACCAGCTCTCGCTTGATCGTAAAAAGTGATGTATCATCTCTAGTGGTAATAGAGGACACCCTTCATATTGCCGAGGGTAATCCATTACCGTCATATCATACTGAGATAGCAAGTCGGATAACTGGCTCCTCTTTTCCCCTTCTTTGAAATTGAAGACCATGAAAGCAGCATCCGGGTAGTGATCCTGTAGTTGAGCCGCAATCCCGTTCATGTATGTTCGGTATTCATCTTCATTGAGAACATCCGTGGAGAAGCAGCAATCGAAAACTGCATTCAGAGGACAAGAAATGGCATATGTCACGATTTACAAGTCCGCACAGCATAGTGAATATCATTTTCATTGAGAACTTATATATTTCCAAAAGAAAAACACCAGAGTTTCCAGAGGCAGGAATCCCAAAGAACACTTAAATATTGTTACATTCATTTGCCAGAAAAGATTGTGATAAATATCAAACAAAGAGCATGCAATTAACTGATTAAGACATGTAAGTTGTAAAACCTCCTTAAGCAATGCATGCAAATGGATTGGATGCCTAAAATGTTTCCATGAGCCAAAAAATCTTAATTACAATCTGCACCACATGAGATCATAATTTGCATTGAATTCACAAAATTTTACAAAATCAGCAGCCCTTCACTTTGGATAACAGAACCACAATCCTATTACAGCACAGATTATCCTAATCAGCACCGACAAAGTGGCTCTAAATATTCCGGCCCCATGCCAGTTAAAGACAAATAAAAAAGGCAGTAAAACTTGAGCTGCAAGATCACACAAAAAAGGATAACAACTCAAAAGAATGCCAGCCAAAAGCCAGTCCAAAAGTTAAATGCACATCCACTCTTCAGCCTCTCACAACTATAAAAATTTCCAATGCTCAACAGCTCAGCAATCAAAGTCAAATTAGAACAAGTGGAAAATGACCAAACAAATTCATACCATAGACCCTCTCGGAGATCTCGAGAAGCCGATCCGGTGGCTTCCGGTAGAAGAATCTTCTGAACAGCGCCATGTAATGGCGCTGTTTTCCGCCTGATCAGATCCAAAACCCTTTATCTTCCCCCTCCAATCAAATCACATGAGCTTCCAACCGCAGCTAGGCAACAGATCTTCACAGCCTACGAAATACGGCCACAAATGAACCGCAAATTCAAACGGCCAAACAAAACCCAGATCAGAAAAACGCCAGCAGGCAATCGCAGCTCAGCTGAGGAAAAAATTCAAAGGCCCAGCTGAGGATTTAGACCTTGCCGCAACCCACCAGTAAAACCACCGCAAGCCAGCTCAAGAAACCCTGGAATGAGGAGAAAGGGAGCAGAAACGCAAGAATTCGAAGAAGCTGGAAGTGAGACACAGTGCACAATCAGACAAATTGGGAGAACTTTCTAGGGCTTGTGAGGAATGAAGAGTCAATTGGGATCGAAAATCAATGGCGAAAAAAACTGAAAATGGCGATGGATAATTGTTGACAGTAAGGATCATAACAGTCCTGAGGAGAAAAAATTGATCACTTGGAGAGAGAAAGGGAAACGTAGTAAGTAGACTGAGAGAGGCATCCGTCAAGGCCGGCCCGACCCGAAAAGGTGACGTAAACATAGACCCAGACCCGGATCCGAATCGCATTGGCAATTTTTGTCTGTTTTTTCTGGTTTTTTTGTTTTCTTATGGTTAAATTAAATACTCGTAGTAGATATCACGTGTAGAGCTGTCAAAACGGGCTGGCGGGGTAGGCCGGCCCGCAGCCTGCCGAAGCCTGTCTTTTGGCGTTGAGGGGCGGGCCAGCCCGCCATCCTGGCGGGCCTATGAAATGTCGGCTCAACCCGCCACCCCATGGGCCGCGGACTTTGGCGGGCCAGTTCGCTATATATATATAAAATGTGCTATTAAAAATTGTAAGGAAGCAAGACATTATACATGTAGAATTGTAAGAATATATATCTTAATATATATATTAATAATATATATATATATATATATATATTTTTAAATAATGCGGGCCAACATGCGGGCTAGCCCGTCCTGCCCAGCCCTGACCCGCGGCCCGCGCGGGCTGGCCCATTTAGGCCCGCTCTCCAACGGGTTTAGAAAATCCCGGCCCAAACCGTCCTTGGGGTGGGACGGGCCAAATTGACAGCTCTTTCACGTGGATAACGAGTAACCAATGGCAATTTCCTGGTAGTAGTTGGGAGGCATGCAATAATAATAAGTATTCATTTTATTAATGTTTTCACATTACATCTTTCAATGTTGTCGTTTTTGTGGCCTATTGGGTTTTATTCGTTGAATCACAATATAGATCCAAAGATTTTAATTTGTTAACCTAATTTGAGTGAATTAATTCGATGGATATTTCCTAATAAATTCATAATGCATATTTCAACTTTCTTCTCAGTCCCTATCAATTTTAAATTTTCTCTGCACTCCCTAAAATACAAATTTATCTTTCCTCTCAACTCCCCATATAAATACTAATATTATTATTTTCCTTTAAAATTAGAAAACAAAAAACAAAAATTGCAGACTTCCTTCTCAGTCCAAATCTCTCTCGTCTCGCCCCAAAAAAAAAATTGCAGAAACTTCGATTCTTCCCAGCTTCCTCCCTCGCGCCCAAAATCGGCCCGCTTGGCCTCTCCCCCAAGAAAAGGCCGGCGCTCCAAAACCCCCAAAAAAGGTTGGCACTTCGATGTGGGATTTTCCGGCAATGCGGTGGCAGTGGCGGCAAGAATGAGAACGAGGCGGTGGTGAAGGGGAGGAGGAGATTGGGGACGCCATAGATCTGAATATCCATGTGTTCCCGCGACGCGTTCATTCAGATTAAACCCTATATGCAAGGTTGATTCGAGCGTGGAGATCCCATCCAAGAAGTCGAGCCTGTCGGCTTTGGAGATGCTCAAGAGCTCCGCTGCTACTCGTGAGTTTTGCTTGTCTTTTCGTTCGTTTGNTTCCAAATTTTTTTCTCCGTTTGTGTGTGTGTGTGTGTGTTGAGATGGGGGCGTGTGTTTCTTGTCCGGAGAATTGTGTGAGGGGTAAGTTCGACGAGTCGAGGAAGAAGAGGAATCGAAAGAGGAAAAAAAGGTTTTGCAGAAAAAGAGCTCACTCTAACGTGTTTGATCTATCCTCGGAGTAGAATCGATATCGAGAAGCTTACGCCTTTGCCGGAGGATCGTGCCTTTGATAATCCCACTTTTCATGGTCTGTTTATCTATCTATGTGTGTATATGTGATTTTGTGTGTTGGTTCATATGTTTGTGAGCTTGGGATGAGTTATTTGTTTTGAGCATGGAGCTTGCAAATAATGGTGATGAAAATTGAAAGATTAGAGTTCTTGATTTTGTTGTGTGTGATCTAAGTGTGAAAATTGTCTAGTATTGTGCAGTGTTGAATGTTGATGTATTGTTGTGTATTTTTCTTAAGTGGGTTGTACTAAAAAAATGTGGAAGCTAGGCTTGTTGGATTTCTTTGCCTGCTGCTGAGGTTCTCATCTCTGATTTGGATGCTTTGGTTTTGGCTTCTCCATGGTTGTCTTGTGGTTGTTGCTTGTTAGGCTTTTTGTCCTTTTTATTGTTTCTGTCTTTTGTATATTTTGGTTATAGTTTTGATGGGGTAGTGGTTGATGTAAGTTCTAGGTGTTTTGTTTTAGTTGTGCAAGTTTTCCTTTTCTTTTGTGGAGGGGAAACATGATATGTTATCTGATTCCCCCCTTAGTTTTCTCTAATTGATTTGTGGTCATGTTGGGGGAAACTTTGTAACCATCTGGAGAATTGAACATTGTAATTACTTTTGCTTTGAGTTAATATAATTTATTGTCGTTATGGAAAAAAAACATGTAATAAATTTAGATTTTGAAGTCCTTGTATTCTGTTCCTCCAAGGTTTTGTTTCTTAACTTTGGTTTGTGGAATGTGGGTTATCATTTTCTATCGGTTTAAGTCGATTATTCATAAACTTCTCGATGGTATGCGATTTTTGGTGTCTGTGTAGCTTTGTGGCTTTAAAAAATTAGAATTTTAGGAATTGTTAATTGCTTTGATGGGTAAAAAAGAAAAGAACATTAGTTTTGAAGATTCACATGTTGTTGATTAATTGATAGAAGTAAACTCGTTCACCACCATTCTAAAGCAGACAAAATGACACGATTAGTAAAATGGTACCAATTTTACAATAGTACATGTTTTGGTCAATGAAAATAGATTGTTCAATTTTGGTCAACATTTGTGAAATTAGTACCAGTCCTAAAATTAGATAGTACTCATTAAATGGTGTTTTAGTACCAGATATGGGGTCTTTAATACCAACTGCAACAAACATAAAAAAAACACCGAATTTTTCTATCTTAAATGATGTTTATATGTAGTACCAGTTTTACCACAAATAATATCACTTCTTCTTCTATGCAGTACCAGTTATTGTTCAATTAGTACCTTCTTTGTAGAAAGAACAAAAAATGGATTAATTCAAATTTGGTCAACATGTTCAAAACTAGTACCAGACCTAGAGTAAGATAGTATCGCAATTGTGGTGTTCTAGTACCAGATATCGGGTCTTCAGTACCATCTCCGACGAACATAAGAAACAACGAATATAATCTCAAATGATGTTTACATGACCAATAATCACTCTTACATTAGTTTCTATGAGATTTAAAATGTATTTCATTATAGTACCAGATATCAGGCCTTCAGTAACAACTGCGATGAACGTAAAGAAAAAGAATCGATTTGGTAAAATATTACCTGTTTTGACGCAAACAATACCACTTTTTTTTTTTTTGCGAAGCACCAGTTATTGATCAATTAGTACCAAATTTTGGTCAGCGAAAATGGATTATTCAATTATGGTCAACATTTGCAATAATTGGTACCAGACCTACAATAAGATAGTACCATCGTTCGGTGTTTTAGTACCAGATATTGGGTATTTAGTACCATTTGTATTGAACACATAAAAACACCAAATTTCGGTCTCAAATGATGTTTAAATGGCCAATAATCACTCTCACATTATTTCCTATGAGATTTAAATGTTTTAAATTGAGTTTAGTCATAAAATTGTCATGAACTCGACACACTAATGAAAAATCACTACCAATTTACTTCATTTCATTGAATGACACACTTCATCTCATAGAATCATCATACATTACTACTCGAAATTCTACCTACATGTTTTAACTTCCACTATTTTTCATCCAAATCACCCGTGAACGATCCACTTGTCATGGTAGACATGTAGGATTAGATGAATCACGATTCTTAAAATAGTACCTGTTTTAGCTAATATAGTACCACATCTTCTTCTACGTGATATCCATTATTGATCAATTAATACCAACTTTTAGTCAACGAAAATAGATTATTCAATTGTGGTCAACATTTGCAATAATTGGTACCAGACCTAGAGTAAGGTAGTACCATCTTTCGGTATTTTAGTACCAAATATTGGGTCTTTAGTACTACTTGTAATGAACACATAAAAACACCGAATTTTGGTCGCAAATGATGTTTATATGACCAATAATCACTCTCATATTATTTTCTATGAGATTTAAAATGTTTTAAATTGAGTTTAATCGTAAAATGGTCATGAACTCAACACACTAATGAGAAATCACTACTAATACACTTCATTTCATTGAATGACACACTTCATCTCATAGAATCATCATACATGACTACTCCAAATTCTACCTATATGTTTAACTTCAACTATTTTTCATCCTAATCACGCGTGAACAATCCACGTGTCATAGTAGACATGAAGGATTAGAGAAATCACGATTCTCAAAATAGTACCTGTATTAGCCAATATAGTACCGTATCTTCTTCTACTTGGTACCTGTTTTTGATCGATTAGTACCAACTTTTGGTCAACGAAAATAGATTATTCAATTGTGGTCAACATTTGCAATAATTGGTACAAACCTAGAGTAAGGTAGTACCATCTTACGGTGTTTTAGTTCCAAATATTCGGTCTTTAGTACCACTAGTAATGAACACATAAAAACACCGAATTTCGGTCTCAAATGATGTTTATATGACCAATAATCACTCTCACATTATTTTCTCTGAGATTTAAAATGTTTTAAATTGAGTTTAATCGTAAAATGGTCATGAATTCGACACACTAATTGGAAATCACTACTAATACACTTCGTTTCATTGAATGACACACTTCATCTCATATAATCATCATACATGACTACTCCAAATTCTACTTATATGTTTTATCTTTCACTATTTGTCAACTAAATCACGCGTGAACGATCCACGTGGCATGGTGGACATGGAGGATTAAAGAAATCACGATGATTTAAATGGTACCAGTTTTGACAGAAATAGAACCACTTCTTCTTTTGCGTAGTACCTGTTTTTAATCAATTGGTACCTACTTTTGGTCAACGAAAATGGATTACTTCAATTTTGGTCAACATTTGCAAAAATTGGTACCAGACCTAGAGTAAGATAGTACTAGCTTTTGGTGTTTTAGTACCAGATATCGGGTCTTTCGTACCAACTCCGACGAACATAAAAAAACACAGAATTTTCATTTCAAATGACGTTTATATGACCCATTATCACTCTCACATTAGTTTCTATGAGATTTAAAATGCGTTTAATTAAGTTTAATCGCAAATTAGTTACGAACTCAACACACTAATGAAAAAACACTACTAAAACACTTCATCTCATTAAAAGACACACTCCATCTCATTGAATGATCATACATGACTACTTCAAATTCTACCTATATGTTTTAACTTCCACTATTTATCAATTAAATCACGCGATAACGATCCACGTGACATGGTAGACATGGAGGATTAAGGAAATCCCGATTACTAAATCGGTACCAATTTTGACAGAAATAGTACCGCTTATTCTTCTGCGTAGTACCGATTTTTAATCAATTAGTACTTACTTTTGGTCAACGAAAATAGATTACTTCAATTTTTGTCAACATTTGCAAAAATTGGTACCAGACCTAGAGTAGGATAGAACCAGCTTTTGGTGTTTTAGTACTAGATATCAGGTCTTTACTACCGACTCCGACGAACATAAAAAAACATCGAATTTCAGTCACAAATGATGTTTATATGACCCATTATCACTCTCACATTAGTTTCTATGAGATTTAAAATGTGTTTATTTAAATTTAATCGCAAATTAGTCACGAACTCAACACACAAATTAAAAAACACTACTAATACATTTCATCTCATAAAAAACACACTTCATCTCATTGAATGATCATACTTGACGAACATAAAGAAACACAGTATTTTGGTCTCAAATGATGTTTATATGACTCATTATCACTCTCACATTAGTTTCTATGAGATTTAAAATATGTTTAATTAAGTTTAATCGCAAATTGGTCACAAATTCAACACACGAATGAAAAAACACTACTAATACAGTTCATCTCATTAAAAGACACACTTTATCTCATTGAATGATCTACATGACTACTCCAAATTTTACCTATATGTTTTAATTTTTACTATTTCTCAACCAAATCACGCGTGAACGATCCACGTGGCATGGGGGGGGGGNATTTTTTAAGTACTTATAATTAAGATATTAAATATCTTTAATAAAATTTTATAATAAGATAATTATTTCATAATTTACATTTATGCAAAAACTTAATGAAATTTATTTTAAAAGTTAAAAAACAAATATTAACTTAATTTTAATGTAAATATGTGATAACATTAAAATATAAACTATTTAAAAAAATATTTTTATTTTTTGTAAGTAAACTTATTGAAAATATTATTTGTGAATAAAACAACCTATAATAGAATTTTTAGGGTATTAATTTTATATATTCTTAACTTTTTCAAAAATATAAATTTTATTCACAAACAATATTTTCTAAAATATTATTTAAAAAAAAAATTCTAAATAGTGTATATTTTAATGTTATCACATATATAGATTAAAACTAAATTAATTTTTTTAACTTTTTAAAATAAATATTTAAAATTTTAACTTTAAAAAATTCTAACTTTTTAACTTTCAACAAATAAATATTTAAAATTTTAGTTCTTGGCGCGCGGAATTTCACAATAAATATTATAATTTCGCTTAACGGCCATTTATATTGAAATTATATTTCTTTTAGTGTTTTAAAATGTTTATAACGTAATTCGTCGTGTTTTGCCTCTTATACTACGCAGCGTAAGTAGAA